TCTCCTCTGAAGAATACATTTATATGATATTTCGATACGAGCACTTTGCATTGATTAGAAAAAAATGATTTGTAATGATAAAAAATTAACGAAAAAAGCAGAGGAGGTTCAATTTTGGACAGCATAATCGCAAAATTTAAATTAATACATCTCGATAGAAACGTGTTCTCGGAATTTCCTAGAAGATATTTCCGAGAAGACAATTTCAATAAACCGAGTTCAGAACTGATTGAATCCATTCGCCCGATTGAATTTCATCCCTTCGACTAATTATAATTCGTTGAAGGGAAAGAGCTGAATGGAATTAAATCGGTTGTCTTTGGAATTGATTAAAAAGTGAGTGAAAGAGTAAACCTGCGTTGATGAAACAGGGTAAACGCGCGATATCTCGCTTCAAATTAATTGAAGCACGGTAATTTCGTAACTGCACCGTGACTCTTACACAATCTGCGACTCCAATTATTATACAGTTCATTTTTTTTTTTCAAACGCTACATCTCCGCCTATTTTTCACCCTTGGCGAGCTTTTTATTAACTTTTCGCCAAATGTTTTTCGTAATTACGCGTTGATTACATCGCCCATCTTTTGGCCCATTTATCGTCCAACATTTCGCTCTCCTTCTTTAATTAAGCATATTCATATTCTTGAATTTTATCAAATATTTTTTTGTAAAGAAGATAATAACGAAAACGACTCTTATTATTATAACAGAAGTTCGTTCGTTATTGAATACACAGTGTTTGTATGTACACGGAAAGTATTTGTATTTATAATTGCATTTAAACGTTAATCCATCACTTCGCATATATATTTCATATTAACACGAATATCTCTCTGATAAAACGCGTTTACATGTATCGATATCGTATCGATACTTTTTTTTTTTATATGATTATAAAAATTAAATACTGCTGGAACGAAATAAAAAAAAAAAAAAAGAACAGAAATGGCACGTACGAATTTTCACTGGCACGTGAACCATTCCTCGATGATTTCATTTTACACAATTATTCATTGTCTCTTTTTAACCATTGATAATACGTGCAAATAAAATCTTTTTAATTTTATTCGAAAGAAACCATCTTGTTAAAAATTATCAATTCAATGAATACTATTTATAAATTCTTGACACACGCGTGTCAAAATATTTCGTCATCATCTATGTACATATAAAATCCGTTTAAAAATGAATTCAGACTCGATATTGAACTACGAAGAAAGAAAAAAAAAAAGATCTTCGATAGCGAAATCGCGTTACATCGATCCGGCCATTTTGTAAAAAAAGCATGTCCTCTTCGAATGTCTGGTGGAACATGCTCGAATATCAATAAAGCAACGCCTCTATCCGTAATCATATTTCATCGATGACAGAAAGAACAGAATCGATTCGAAGATCCGTGTATCATCCCCTTGCATATTTCTATTCATTTTTCTACTTTGAAATCGGGCAAAAATCGATTGGAGGGATGATAGGCATCGGTCAGGTGGTGGCCCAGACCAGGTCGCATCTTTTTCGATATTCCGTCCTCGAGGAAAGGAAGAGGAATAGAATAAGGGTAGCGTCGTGCATGAGAGAAGCCCCCGTCAATTTCTATATTAAACTATATTTCGATTTTCTCTTCGATATTCCACGCAACGAGCGAGTGAAATTACAAAGGAATACATAATTTTTAAACGTAATATTTAAAAATCTACCAAAAAAACTTATTAACAGATGAGTAGTCAAAGTTGTAATTATACACGAAATTAGCACGAAATCAACATGATGCGTGACTCTTCTTTAATCCTGATATTTAAATTCATAATCTCGTTTCACGTAGGATCAAGAGAGAGAGAAACGAATAAATCTGTTCCAGCTATTCGACTTTCTTCTTCTTTCAACAAGCAAATCACGATTAACAGAATTCTCCTTTTCGACCCGGCTTAATCCTCGATAATTGTGCGCGGCAATTATCTTGCCGCTAATTATTGACACGTACTACTTAATCCACGAATCCCTGCTGTTAATTACGGGCCGCTTAATTCTCGATATTATACGCATTAAGACGTCGGTCGGCTAATTACCGAGTCGCGCCGCTTGATACGGAAGTTACGAGGTCGCGATCGAATCGCTAAACGCCCCGCTTAATCTCGCTATCTTACCCCGGCTAAGCGCTTCTCCCACACTTCGTTTCATCCGCTCCAACACGCTCTTCGAACATTCTCGCGTGTTGCACGCGCGTAGGCGAGCGAAGATTCGGGCAGAAATCGCGGAAAAATCTCCAAAGGGTCGTATCAGAGGGGAAAGCGTCAAACGTATTGCGTTTCTTCTTCACGTGAGCTTGAATTTGTATCGCGGAAAGCCAGGTCTGTTTTTTCGCACGAAACGAAAAGCACGAAAGTAATCTCTTTTTGAAGTCTGAATAATCAAGTAATGGTATACGCTTGTGTGTATCTCCAACTCTAATCTGCGTTTCTTCGCAACTTGTATAAGCTACTTGTTTAATTCTAAGCTGTTCAAACTCGAGGATTACCCGAGTTTGCGAAAAATTGAGTGAATGGGTTGAATATTACGTTCGATTCGACTCGACGTCGCGTCGTGTATTCTTTTTTTATACGAAAATTTAATGATGGGTGAAATTTTTGACACGTAGTAGTATTCGTTTGTAAATTAAAGTCGCTCGTTTTATCCACGCGAAATTTCAATTTTTTGGCCGCTACAAAATTGACGAGAAAATTCTCATTTGTAAATTAAAATCGCTCGCAAAATTCGAATTTTTTTCCGGACTCCGTAAAATCGACAAGGAAACGCAACGTTTGTTTAAATTAAAATCAATCGTTTTGTATATCGCGCGTATAATAAAAAAAAAAAAATTTCAATTTCTCCACAAAATTGCCAAAAAAAAAAAATTGCAACTTTTTAAATTAAAATCCTACCTCCGCTATTCGCGTGCGAAATTTAAATTTCAAATATCGTCGAAAACATCGTGGAAAAAATTCCGAACCGAATAACGCATTTAAAAACGATCCCTTCCTAAATCTAAAAAAATTTTCAAATTCGTCCCGAATAATCACGAAATTGGCCGCGATAAATAACGCTCAATTCGGTTGTTCTTTGTTATCAAACGTGTTTCCACGTTTCGCCCCCTCGCGGCGATATCCATTTATTTCGAAGATAACGGGAAAGGACAATGTTTTTCGGTGTTTTTGGATGGCGCTCTTTTAACCGCTACTTCCGTACGTTCGTCTTTAAGCGTAGAACGCGTATCTGGGTCGGTGGAGGACAGCTCTGAAGACTCTGCAACGACGAGAGGGGAGGGGGCGCGAGTTTCGTTTTATTTCGCGTATTTCTTCGTTTCGTTACGTTCCCTTTTTTCTCGGGGCTCCACCCTTTTGTTCCCCGTTAAAACGACTGGTTAAGTATGGAATGATCTCGTGCGAGCAAGCAGCGGATTTCGCGAGAAACGAGCTTTCACGGAGACGTACGTTCTCGAACGAGCATTATCTTGTTCGTGAGACGTGCCCCTTTCTTGCCTCGTTGGAAAGTTGACTCTAGGAATTTTCAACTGAACGACGAGATGGAATCTTTGAAAGATTAATGATCGTGCGGTAAAAAAAAAAAAAAGAAGAAAGAAAGAAGAAAGAAGATCGTGGAATTTGAAAAAAAAAAGTAATTTTTCCGAGAGTTGTGGATTCCAAGTGACCGATACTTGAGCGATGCTTGAGAACGTTGAGTAATGTCGGTGTTCGAAAACGGAGAGAGAGAGAGAGAGAGAGAGAATGCGAGAAATGGAAAAGTGAATGACTTGAAATATTTGAAAATTTGTAAAGTAAATGTATAAAGAAAATATCGATATCTTAACTTTCGATTATTTAATAAGTTATCGAAATCCTAATTTTTCGAAGACTACAATTTTTCGATACCCGCATTTCGAGTAACCGATTGAAATAACTATATAGACACCGCAGCGTTATATCGCCGTTGTATTTAACTCTCGAAGCAAAAATATAAATCGCGATTATTTTCACGAAAATCGTTCCCGGAGGACGATATTTCCTGGACCGATTCCCTGAATTTTGCATGTGCCCCACGGCACTCTCGCGCATAAACATGCAGGTGTGCATTACGGAGACGTTGCACGATTCGCTGCTTTCGAAGAAGACAGCCCATAAATCTTAAGTTCGTTCCTTGATCCGAAGTCGCGAAATATAAATCACTATTCAGAACAACGTGACTGACGTGCTTTCATCAGAATATTTCCAACCTTTCAACGCTACCTCTATATATAAAATACTATCCGATTGACACGAGTCCGACGTATGTTCGCAAATTGAAAAAAAAAAATCCTCGATATTACAAATAACTCCTTCGTTTCATCCAAAAATTTTTCCCCATTTCTCGTTTTTAGTTTAAACGATAATAATTAAAGTGATGCATACGCTATTCTGGTACTAAAATTAACTATGATATATATATATATATTAATATACGTATCGTATGCAAATAATTAATCGAGGTATCGTTATAAAAATAATTAGTTATTGCGATTCGTATCTGGATCTTTTTTCAATTTTATGAAAATTTTCTAAATGAAACTGATTGCATATCTATTATCATTATCTCATTAAATAATACAATATATAGAGCGTATATGAATACAAATCGATCTCGTTAATTGCCAATTTATCATGAAGATATATCCAACAAATTATTAATCATCACGTTATACGTTATAATTTTAACACGTAATGTGACGAGTCGTGATAACGAATTACAAACTAATTTTCTTACATTCATAACAAAATTACGCGAGTCTAAAAGCTGTAAAGATCACATTATCCCATCATCATCCGTGCTGAATCATCAATCACACCGGTTCGATCGCTTATCCCAAAACTCAAAATCATCAAGTTTCGAAATATGAAATATCGATCGGCAAAATTAATTCGATGAAATATTTCAAAATCGATATTTCACGCGTGAAAAATCAATTTATTAACGAATTCCACTTTGTTTCAGTCCCGATATCGCACATCGTGGCACTGGTCGGTGATCCTACGTACCTTCCGTGCGACATATCAACCACCCAGGAAGGAGACTCGGTGCACCTTGTGCTCTGGTACCGCGAGGACCTCGGTACGTCTGTCTACAGGTAAGAGGAGAACCAATTTGTACACGAGAGTGTCCCATAAAAACGTGGGAACGTCGGTTGACTCGATATTTCTTTCCAATTTCTAGCGATATTTGGAAAAACTTTCGTTTCGATTTTGTTCAGTCGAGTTATTAACTAAGAAACTAAGTCGAACTCCGTAACGCGCTGTCGATAAACAAATAAAGAAACAAGTTCGAGCGATACGTGTGGATGTGTAAAAAGTATATTTTTATCGAAAAAGAAATCACATCGGATTATATATCTTATTCGTCGTTGCATACGAAACGAAGAAGCGCGCGTCGTTTTTTTACCTATCCACGATAAAAATTGTAACGCAAGATTAATCGAAATACGACAACGAGCGAAAGCAAAATTTAATACGCGTCGAACGAAGACTCGCGGCGAACTGAGGTTATTGCGAAGAAATTCGGTGTGTTGACATAGCGCGTGTCGACGATTGTTGACATTTCTTTGGATGGATTTTAAAATCGCTCGAGTTTCGAGAATTTTATCACCTCCGCGATTAATTGTACGTTTATCATCGTCGAATATGCTTGGATTATATTTCGACTGATTTTTTAAAAATTCTAGTTTTTCAATTTATCGTTTTTTTTATATTTTTCAAATTGAAACGAAATTAAAGTTGTAGTGTGTAACTATAGTAAGATTATAACGCGAATTTTAAAAGGAAAAATTTATATTCAATCACAACACCCACGTATCCCCTTACATGCGAATTTTAAATATCTCCAAGGATTTTCTCAATGGATTTGATTTCTCTCCACATTTTTCTTTATAAAATTCTTTTTCTCTCGTACACATTCTTATTAAATTCATTATCCATATAATTAATTTTATAAATTTTATAATACATATATATATATATAGTATAAAAAAATTATTTCATATGGAAAAAAGAATTTATATCGATGATTTATATTTATAAATCTCTTTTTATCGCGCCTCATATTCTCACACCTTACTTTTCAAACATCTTCGATTCTCTTTTTTTTACGAACATACCAACATCTTAAAAACGAGCAGTTTGCATTTAAAATCGTCTGATTTATATTCTCGATGCGGTTTAATTTATTCACTCGGGAAATACGTCTATCCGTTATCCGAGAATGGCATTCATTAAAATAATTATGATAAAATTCGTGCATCCCCCTCGTCTCAAACTTCTTATGAATCTGAATAGACTTTTTGAAAAGTTTTAAAATCATGTTCTAATTTGATAAAATTTATTTTCATACGAATATTTCATACGAAAAGAAGGAAATAAATGTAATTTGAACGAATCGTATCATAAATCATTTGCTGTTTCGTTTATTGATGAAAACTTCTTCTTCCATGTATCCATCATGTAACATTTACATAAATTTTTCTCATTGATATTATTTTCACGATGATCTCCAACTCATCTACTCTATTTATTGATTATCCTTGTTTCAGCGTCGATGCCCGAGATCGAGATTTCGGCATCGCCGAACGATGGTCGGACGACACGGTGTTCTCGAATCGAGCTTACTTCATGCCGGACAAGAAACCGGCCGAACTCGGGGTGGACCACATAAGGGAGGAGGACGCGGGTATCTACAGGTGTCGCGTCGATTTCCAGATCGGGCAAACGAGAAATTCCAAAGTCAATTTAACGGTGATAGGTGAGTGCTCTTCTTCTCCTTGCGGGACGAAATTTCATCCACGCTTTCAAACTGATGGAATTTTTTCAATATTTTCGATATTTCTCTGTGTATGAGTATAATTACGATATTGAATTAATTAATTTAGAAAAGTAAAAAGAAAGGATGTTTGAAAGTAGATATTAATAGATTGTCGAGCGTGAACGAGAGACGCAGCTTAATCTCGTCCGAGTTGATTCAATCTCGATAAAAATAAGGGATAAAGATTCAATAAGAGAATAAGAGAGCTTAATTCCTCTAAAAGATTCGCAAACCGTGTCATAATCCACTTCGATATTTAAAATCCATTTCCTCCTCCCGAAAAGAAGAAAAAGAATTAAAAAGAAACGTAGGAATTGAAACACGAGCCCCAACATCTGTTTATTCACGCGAGCGTCCCCCCAGAAACGCGGATGAATATTCGCCGACACATATTGTTTTCCAACGGCAAACAGAATTTCCTGTTTGCCGTATAGGCAATAAAAAGATTCGTCTGCTTTCGTCGAAAATCTATGGATAATCTACGGCCATCTATCCAAAAAGACATCTCTGACGATCGAACGAACACGATCCAACATACTTTTAATACTTAAACGCAATGTTTAATTTAAATTATACTTCGAATACATACGGAGAAAAAAATAAACGTTAATTTCTACGTTAATTTCACTTGGATAATGAATTTCAATCTTATGCTTAAATTGCAAATAGTTCAATGTTCACTTTTATAAAACATTATACATAAAGCCTTCTTTCTTTTTAAAATTTTTCATTTAAACCAGATGATTGAACTGCAAAGCGTTGAACATGGCGCGAAAGAGCATAGTAACAGATACTCCTCGTATCTAAAAATAAATCCTGGCTGCCACTTTTTCCAAAAATTTAAGAGACGCCCGATTCGACGTGCAAACAAGCTTTCTGCTCTTCTCTCGGTTAAATTCTTGGGGGGGGGGGGGAAGGAAAATGGCGGCGTATCTCGCTATCGCTTTTGCGCCACGAGGCGAGCTTCTGTTGCGTTTTTCGTGGCGCACGCGACGACGAGAACGGAGGGGAATATATCAAGATGAAAACTATGCCAGCCACCGTTGGACAATGGCGTGTCGCGCCTCGTACCGGCATTCTCGAAGCGTTGCACGCGTTTTATCTGGGCGGAGGATCGCACAGGTTTCGAGCTTTTAACGCTCTAACCATGAACGGTGCAATTTATGCGAGAGGAATTCGTTTCAGAGTCGTGGAACAGCGCGCCACTCTTTTTTCGTTGTTCTCACGATGAAGAAGGGGTTGGTGGAACCTTCGACATTGAAAAGGATACGAGAGTTCAAGGTGACGCACTGTGAAGCGAATTGAGAATTTGTGGATGATAAAAGTGGTGAGATTTTGGTGGAGAGGTATTTTTACGATAGTGGATTTGAAGAGTGAAAAGTGCGTTGAAATTTGAAATTGTCAAACGTAGACTTATTTCACCAATCAAATTAAGATCACACTTTAATCGTATCGATTATGGTTCTTCGTTCTCTTAATTCTTCGATATCTTAAATATACGTATAGTAATTTAATAAGTATTTGCAGTTATGAGTATTAAATGATTTAACTACGTGATAAAGGTATATATAACATACTGCAGTAAAGATACGTATTGAGGTTGTAATTATTTTTATGTCTGATCGATACTTGGGTGAAAGTATTGTACGCAGAACAGATATTATATTTTTTATCGTATCGTTGCATTTGAAGAAGAACAATTCCATTTTAGTATTCGAAACAATTACCAATATGAAATCGACGAAAGATTATTCGCCGCTGTTAAATCTTCAATTTTGCATGTTGCGCGTGATACGACGATATTATTTTACTCTCGACTGTTTATTAACGAATATCCATTTCAATCGGGGTCACGTTTCGAATGAAATCGGTCAATAGTGAATCGAAATCGGACAATTAAAGCTTCCAATTCCAATGGAAGAGATGATAATATTTGTTTATAACGGTTTAGAATTTCACGCGCTAGAAAGAAAAGAAACTATTCACGCTTCATTTACGTTTGAATTAAAGGATTATTGATCGAATCCCTGCGATTATTGATCGAATGAAATTGGAATTCTGAAATACTTGGAAAACGAAAGGATAAAAAGAAAACTCGATTCTGAATAACAAGTATAACGAATAATCGAAATAATCCGAAAAAAAAAAAATGATAGAGATCGTATTCCGAAATATCGCATATTCAATCGAAAGAAACAAATAAAAAATAAAATATTCTGTATTGAAAAATATAATCATAATTTTTCAACAACGAAACGACAAAGTAAAAAAGAATGTCAAAGTAAGAAAAGATCGAGAATCCGATTGAAAAGCACGGATGGAAATAAAATCTCTGGGAGAGTTTTAAAATATCGATCAGCGATGATCAACGATCTTTGGCACGGATATGATGTCTCGTCGACTTTAACGAGCAACTTCTCGGCCGATTTCGATTTTCTCTCTCCAACCTTCCAAGGAGATCCTCCGTTGGAACATGGTTTCCGGGAATCTTCGTTTCCAAGGAAGACGCGTCTCGTCTCGAGTGTTCCGCCATACTCCGTTCCACGATTTTTGCTTTGACTTTCATTTCCTGCGCCGCGACCGGATGCGAAGGGAATCGAAGCGAAGAAGGGCGGAATGTCACCGCCAGATCGATACGCGAGCTCTGTACGTGACGTGATTCGCGTCTCTTTGCCGTCAATCGCTTCCGATCGTTTTCCAACGAGCACCGGAGAATCGTTAGTCCTTCATTGCGACTATATTGTTTCACATGGTGTGGCAAAGTTCAAATTCTTCGAATCGATCGTGGCTCGTACAAAGATACACGTTTTCCTTTTGGTTTGGAAAAATTTTATCGTGCTGGATTGGAATCTTAATTCAAGTTAATTATGATAGATATTATGATAGAATTTGTACCGATGTATCTTAATTTTAATCGTAAAATTTAATCGTAAGCGAAACACTTTTCTCCAATAAGAAATGAAAAAGAAAAAGCTAAAAATCTTCTGTACTTAAAATTCAGAACGTTAATAAAAACGTTGACAAAATTGTCATATTTCGAATCCACTGAAATGACTATTAGCACGCAAGGAAATAAGAAAAAGAAACATTTCGTTCTGACAATAAGAAAAATCCGATATACGATAAAGAAATAAATCATTTCGGAGGAGGGACGTTAAACGAGCGACCCGGTAAAAATCGCCTTTATTCCCGAGAGTGTCTCTCCCGGGTACTACGTATCCCCAGTACCACATTCTTCTCCTTTTACGACCGTGGCACGTGTTTCTTTCGAAACCGCCGCGGCCACGGTCCATCTCGAACAGAATAAAATTCTCAAGACCTACCGCCTGCGTAAAAATCTCGCCTAGACCAGCCAAGAGTATTTCGCCCATCTCGAAACGGTTTTCCTTCCCCCTCCCCCCTTTGTTGTCACGACAGGATCTGTCGCGAAACGAGAGGAGGAAATAACATAACGTGGCTGGTGGCCATCTCGCGGACATTGGGAAAATAAAAGTGAGGGAAGGTCGAGTAGCTGTGTAGAAGTGGGGTGGTATGAATAAGAAGAGAAATGAAAAGGAGCAGCTGTTAAAAGGAAATGGACGGAGGGAAGAACCGCTATCAACTAGAAACAGGGAGGAGGGAAGAAAAAGAAGGGCGGACAAATAGGTCAAGAAGAGTATCAAAAGGGAGAGCGTGAGGGAGGAGGACACGAATGAAAAATGGGAGGACACGAGAGAAGGGTGGATGGATGTTGGGGAGGGAGGGGAGAACAAATAGGGCAAAACAATTGCCAAGAGGGGGGAAGGTTAAGCGATGGGGGTGGGGTGGGCGTGTTATAATGAAAACGACCGGGTTGAAAAGGAAGGGGAGGGAAAAAAGAAAGAAAAATCCAATTAACAATCCCGTTCAAGAGTTATGGAGATGCCACCGGCCGAGAAATGTAGAACATTCTCTGTTGCCATTTTCCCTTCCTAACCCTCCCTTGGAATTTTTCCCCTGGGATAATTAGCTCCCCCTGCCCTTTCGCGCCAGATCATCCCCTTCTGCGCTCTTACTTCCTTTTAACCAGAGTCGCTGGTGTTGGTAAACCTTTTTTTCGGACGAACGCCAATTAACGTGCTTCCCTTCTCCTTTTCATCCAAACGCATCCTCCTTTTTCTCTCTCGAATCGAGCAAGTTTCCGGATCACACGTCGTAGAAACCGCGACATCGAAGCCTTTTCCGGTCGAAGATTTTTCAGAAGCCTTTCCGTTAACGCAACGAACGAAGCGTGACCAATGCAATTTCCTACCCTTCCCTTCGTTCCTGGAAACGTCGTTCCAACGTAAGTGGCGATAATTAAATTTCGTCGAGGGGAGGATGAGGTGAAATTGAAATTTGACGGAGTGAAATTGAAAATGTTGGAAAAACGAAGGTGAAAGAGTGAGGGGTGTACACGGGAACAAGTTGTTTTTGAAGTAAATAAAAGTCGAGTGAGGAACGAGAGAATATCTCTCGCGCCTTCTAATTGAGAAATTAAGAGGGAGAGCAGCAAGAAGGCAGCAAGTTTTTCCAGTTGAAATACGCGACGGGTTGATCAATTCGCGTATTATTCAAATTATTCACGATCGATGCTAAATTAATTTTCACAAGATTCCGATCGTTGTTTCTGACCTTTGTCAACGGGCTTAAGCCGTTGAGGATAGAGGGCGCACCTCCTCCTTTGTGCACCTTTGAGCATTCCGAACTTGGCCCAACGTTTCTCCCAAACTCCTTCCGTGCGCGGCCTCGCTTCTGCATCGCCCTTTGTGATGCGACCTTTGTTCAAATTCAAACGCCTACGACGTACACGTTGTCCTTAAGTTTGTCTTGAAATTCGCGCGAAACAGTTCTCGGTGAGAGATCGAGGAAGATCGTGCCGAAGAATTCGAACTCTTCGACCGAAGAAAGAAATGTCTCCTCGATTAACTTTCCATTCTATT